GTATTAACTCAACTTTCAAACCTGACATAGTTATTCCTATGCATACTCTACTATGGTCTGATACCAAGCTGGGTCCTGCTGTATTGAGAGAGATGACTGGTATATTCATATTCAACCAGTATAATCAGGTAAAGTTCATTTGACAAAGAGATCGGAGACTATAATACTTACTGGAGAAGTGGTACACACCTTTAGAAGGTTAAGAGCTCTCACAAATCTCTACACTTAACAGGGAAGATATTTTTAGGATCAAACTGTGTTTGCACTAGTACTGAACCATAATGTTACTATGTTGAGCTATAATGTTGAGTCACTAGTCATGTTGAGCTGGCAGGCTGGCATGGCAGTATTTAGAGTGTCCCCGGTTGCGGAGCGAATAGCCGGGAGTTGTGGCGACTAGCCACAACATTAACACGAGTAGCACTTCCGATTGTATACAGAACGTCTGGTCGGGGAGTGCAAAACCTGACCTTAGCAGTCTTCTTTACAGACTCAACCCACCGCTTCTAGGCACTTTGGGGCATCATCCACTGATCTGTCGAGTGATGGTCAGTGATAGACTCCCAGTTCATCCTTATTCCCCAACTCATACATGTGGAAAAAAGGAAAGAAAAAAAACCCCAATAATGTATTTCCCCCAGATTGTGGAGAGTTTAGAATTATGATTATGGGATTTTCAATTTCTATTGGCCATCCCAAACGCAGACACGGGCATGAAATTGGCTCACTGTGCAAAGTGCCATACCAATTGGCTGTCTTGATGCGAATTTTCACCTTTTCCTTCAGAACCCGGACCCCTAGACTTTGTAGCACAATTTCTGTCCGATGCTTAGCTGCCGTATGCCGTATGTGAGCCCTTATACCGGACTCTCTGTCAAAAATAATAATTTATGGGGGAACATTGCTTTTGTCGCTAGGATCGTGTTGCTGAACTCGGGTAGGTGGGAGAGCAGGGAGCGAGGTGAGCGGACCCTAACGAACGAATTCGAATTCGAAGAACATATCGTACCGTATTAGAGCGCGGGGGAAAAAGCTCGGTATACCCGCGACCGGACGCGCCCCGTTGGGGCCGAGACCCCGACGGGAAAAGCCTTCCAGCACACTTAGCGCAGGGCCAACCTGCTCCCGCGAGGCAAAAAAAAAAGAAAGAAAGTAACAAAGAAAGGAAGGAAGAACAGGAAAGAAAAGAAAAAAACCTCTCTAAGGTCACCTGCTGGGTGCTTCCATCGTCCCGGTCTACTGTGTTTGGATTCATGGCTTTGACCAGTTGTCTAGCTTTCCTGTTCCTCTGCCGTACTCGTTCGACCCGGAATGCGGCGGATTGCTTAATCTTTTGGGGACTTCCGGGGCAAGTTAGGTGGAGGGGGTGTATGATAGGAGATCAGAACAGACTACCTCGTCTATGTACCAGAAACCAAGGGAGACTTTTCTTTTTCATTTGGCTGCGGACTTGACGTGGATGATAGCTGCACTTAAATAAGCTATTTCGCAGTCGCGACAAGGTAGTGACCGGACACTACTTTGGGATTAGATTTATGCCCAACCATGGGGAGCCATGGCCTGGTTGCATTGAAGCATCATCATTGGAGCCTGACCCATCAGCGTCTCCCGCCACAATAACTCGAAATGCCTACTAGAAATTATAATAGGGACTGGGCGAGAGGTGATGGAGGTGTGCAGGGGAATGATTGGATTGGGGGATAAGATCTACGAGAATCTGATGATAGATGGTACAAGTACTTGTATGATAAAACCTTGCAAGATCAGGACTCCAATTGGGAAAGAGTGAGCGGGGAATGGAATATCTGGCGCAGATGGCCTGTGGCGTTCCGACAGCCTCACCGAGAGACATTTACAAGCTGCAGTGGATGAAATATTTCTATTAGTGTCCTGTCACTGGCTTGTCGCCACTATCAGCTAAATTATCCATGTTGGTATCATATACTAAGGCAACACTGCACATAACAACAACATAAGCATAGCCACTCCCCGCCGGGGCCAGTGATGTCCCAAACAAAACGGAAAAAAAAAAAAAGTAATACCTTATCACATGTTTTCATTACTCAGGTAGTTTTTCCTTTTTCCTTTTTCCTTTTTTCTTTTCTTTTTCCATTCCTTTTTTTTAAAAAAAAAAGGAAAGTACGAGTAGACACCAACCAAAAATTTTTGGGGGGGGGGGGGGGGGGTGAGTACGTTTCGATTGCTTAGATACACACGGATTTTTACGCCATATGTTATGCGCCTCCCTGTTTCATCGGGTGACTCTTGCGAGTATGATACAGTATGATACGAGGATCACAACGCCATATCATAGCATATCCGAGTATCTCCCTCGGGTTCGGGGATGCACCTCGATATACATACAGGTACACCAAGGCCCAAAAGAGCTAGAGCAAGGACTACTACACCCTCTCAACATAGTTACTACCCTACCGGCACAGTACTAACAGTTGCCGTAACGGTATCATACTCTCATACAATAATACAGGTACTTTCACCACCAAATAAACTGGGATGTTGAATATTTCACTTACAACAATAACCCGGCAAATTGTCAAGGAAAAGAAATGAAAAGAAAAAAACGCCACATTCATCATAGCGTGCCAAGCAAGGCTTTTGCTTTCTCTTCTTTATCATCCAAGATTATTATTATAAGGCCGGATCGTGACATCTATGTATGCACAAGTATGTGCTTCCAGCGAGCGTATAGATACTGCTGCATAACTTAAAGCACGAGTACTCTGTACTAAGGCAGATCATGGATCATCCGTGTGTATGTATGTACGAGTACTGAGTACTCGTACTTACTTACAGCTCCGTCGGTATTGTAATCCGGGTTCCCTTCCTGTGATGTTATCGTACCGGCATATGATATGAGATGGTATGATACGAAAAAGAAGAAAAAAGGAAAAAAAAGAAAAAAGTCCGGCTTTGGTTCCGATTGCCAAGTCACTTTTTTAAATCACCTGGACCTTTATTGTATGGGGGAGGTAAAAGTGTACTGTACTTGTAGTGCTATATACCTGTACAGTAAAGTACAGTACCGTACATAGCATGTGGTTTCTTTTCTTCCCTTTTCTTTTTCTTTCCTTCTTTTTTGTTGTTGAGTAATCGGGGGAGTAAAAATTGCGGCTCTGCTGTACTGCACATACGAGGGTGTTGGGTTGAGGATACTTGTCAGTCCTACCTTGGATGGGGTTTGCTAGGGGAGAAAGGGAAAGAATGGAAGTGATGCGATGTGATATAACGTGAAAGTTTGGTGTTACGGTAACTATAACTCGTTGTTGAAATAGGTTGTACAAAAATTGAAGAAGCTCTTGGGAACCGCATCATACGAAGTATCATACCGGTATATATCATAATAATATTATCATACAAAAGGTCGGGAAAGGTTATTCGGGGTTAACCAAACAGATTAATCCCCGTCCGTTCTGGTCACTGCCCCCCCCCCCGACCCTTTTCCGCACCTTAAAAAACTGGTTAAATCCACTCAAACTATTGCAGATCCCAATTGTACAGTACTTGAGTCTGATACTGCGGTAAGGTAGTCTACTGAACTATGTCACGCTTAGCACGGTAGGCTTAACAAGATCGCGAATACCAGTTAATTGACGAGATCCAGCAAACTCAGCCTGTGCCTCGTCCGGAAAACAACTTTTTCTTCCTTCCTTCTAGGAGGGTGATTTGGTCCCGAATTTCAAAGGCCGGGGTAGGGGGAGGGGGGGGGGGTAGATCGGCGATAATTTATTTCACAGCTTTATTTTTATTTTATTTTTACAGTATCATAGTCCGCCATGCTGCACTTTATTGTACGTATAATAATGTCCAAGAGCTAGTATTGACCACAATGGGACTTGCCTTCTTGTGGTGGCGGGCTTAGAGTTGGAGATGAGGATGAGGATTGGGGGAGGTGCAGCCCAGCCAATCAACCCGCTCGAGCAATCCCGGAAACGGGAAATCACACACAGCATGTAATGTACTGTACAAGTACCCATCGCATCATGAAAGCTTGTGTAGTAATCTCAGTATTCGGAGATACAACTAAATTATGGTAGAATCTTGGGTTGGCTTTTCTTCTTCTTTTCTTTTTCTTTTCCTCTTTACTTTTCCACTGACCATGCTCTCTGCTCACGAGATCAGCTGGACCTCATCATTCTCCATCTCGCCATGCAGAGCAATCCCCGTCCTATGCGCGAACGTACTCGAGTACTGTGCCTTGTATGATACCTACCGTGATATGAGGGGATGTTAGTTCCCGGTTGAGAGGGAGGCTCTACCGGTATGATACTCGTATCGTAATTGAATGACACAACTGCTATACTCTATTTTATTTTATTTTTTTCTTTTGCCTGGATCTCCATGTCATGAAATGGTGGTCGTGTTCACAAATGTCGTTCAACCATGATAGTCTACGGTACGAGCAACGGTCCCAAAAAGAGTTGGTTTCAAACCTTCCTCCCACTTCCCTGCTCGAGATCCATTTTGGGGGACATTTACTCATCAACCCCCCACTCCTCCTCCTTCCTCCCTTAAATTTCTTGGGTTTTGGAGAGATTTTACGGTACTTGCCGTAAGAATGCGGACGTCTCGCTGTACGAGTAATTGTCAGCTTTCGTGATCAAGCCTCATGCTGCTAGCGCCACTTTGCTGCTCTCGCCGAGTGAAGATTCGGGGCATATCTCCTTCTCGCCTTACCGCACCCTACTCTGCGTCGCCGATAAGAAACATCCAATTGCGGCAAGCATACCGTGTTTAGCACCCGAATATTTGACTCTGAATACGCAGTATGGGCGCTCGGATGCGCACATATAGTTTTTCCATACAAGATCTGATCCTTCTGTTCTGCTATGATGCATCATGCCTAATGCCTGTGCTCGATCACAGCAATTGCCCAACCACCGGGAACACAATGGTCGACAATACGATGCAAACAAATCAGCCCGATACAATTTTTTTATTTATTTATCATAATAATATTATTATTAAATTTTTTTAAAAAACAAACAAAGGAAAAGCCGTGACAGCTTGCACAACCCCCATTTCTACCTCAACCCTGACATGCACATACTCCCCACCACTCCTACTCCTACCACTACCGCTACTCCAACCCCACTGCAGCGCCGACAGCTACGACCACTATTAGCAATAATCTTCCTAAACGGCTTCCCGACAATATACCCGGACTGGGCGTCAATTGCACTTCCACTTCGGTCACCCCCACCGCCCTGCTTATTGCTTGCTAACATTCGACATTCCTCCTTCGGGGGGATTACCCATTGAGCGGGGCGGAGCAGCATCTAGACAGCAGCCTGCGACCTGTTGTCCCTTCTCGAAGCACTCTTTCCCGCCTCCTCTTTCCCCTCTTCCGTGTCGGACTCCATTCCCGGTCCTAGGCCTCGTGTCGTGTCTTTGTTCCCCGCGCACGACCACGACAATGGGTGAGGCTCTGAAGCGCACACGGGGGATCGTGGTCGGCAGGTTTCACCCCAACATGGGGATGCCGAGTTGCGTGAATGTTGGGTTCCTGCCGATGCACCGGTTCTTGATGGGGAGGCAGGGCCCGGGGTTGGCGGTTGTTCCGCATGCCTGGATTAAATGTTGATGGGATGGTGGACGAATTGGGGACTGATAGGAGGTGCTACTTGCGCCAAATGGAGAGTGCTTGGGATCGGCGTAATGATGGGGTGGGTCAAGCAGTCTCCCAGAGGGAGCCAGGAAGGGTGGCAGTGAAATTTGGATTTCATACACGAGGACAGGCCGGATCTGGCTGCGCAAGAGATTCGGGGTATGGCCGGGGAGGTGTTGGGGCAGCCCCGGTGGTAAAACCAGTTAAACACAACAGAGAAGCCACCCATCGATGAATACTAGTCCCTAGTTTCTCTCCAGGAGCTACCACCGGCTCATTTTCGCAACAAACCTACTCGTAAAGAAAAGAAGAAAAAAGAAAAAAAAGGGGAAATGATCAATGGAAATAAGCCGAATAAACCCATTAGGATAGTCTTGGTATAGCTACGCCATCAAAGTGCAGAGAAAAGTCTCGAACAAGTCATAAAAATAAGGAAGAACATTCCCCGAAAGAGATGAAATAGGAAAAAGCTAGGTATAATGCTATTGAATCCAGATATTGCTCAAGCAGAAATCCCGGTAAGAAACTTGTTCTAGTCAAACCTCACAATTACAATCCGATCACCAATTGGCTCCTCCAAGATCTCTCCCTTACGCCGAAGCTCTGGTTCCTTCCCATATACCCAGAACTTCTTGTTCATTTTATCCATGCGTGTTAGAACTCTATCACGGGGGGCTTCATTGAATCCTGGGACCGGCAGCTCAATCATACCCCCCTCGGACGGAGTCAAGCTGTCGTCAGTGGATGTGTAGGCATCATCCCTGACCCTTCCTAGGAATCTGGATTTCCCCTTCTTTGGCACTTGCTTTACGGGCTGAACATCATGGACAGCGATCTTCCGACCGACTTCAAGTTCAACTTTATACTTGGTCTTCATCAGCACCCCTGGAGGCCTGAAATCTCCATCATTCACTCCAGGGACAGGAGGGTAGACGGTATGCTTTGATGGGTCCTCGAGAAAGGCCTTCCCATGCCCCCCACTCGCATCAACCTCGGGGTCCAACACGAGCATCCCAGGAGACATCTTGCTAAAAAGCGCGTAGACCTTCTTGTTGATCTTCTCTTGGTTTTTGACCCAAAGGTAAGGAGGATAGTTTCCAGACTCGTTCGCCCCTTCAAGTGTGTCAAGTTCAACGTCGGGGGGAAGAAGTTCCAACTGATTAAGGAAATTTTGCAAGTCGCGAGGTCTTGTATAGTATGTGGGAGTTGGATAAACGTCTTCATAGTCAATCTCGCCATTCTCATTGGCGTAGGGGCTAGCATTGCTATCGTGAATAATATTATCAGGAATCACTGCCCACTCTCTTCCGTTACGCCAATCCGAGATTGCGGAAGGTTGAATTGGAGATGGGCGAGCAGTGACGACCCATGTTACCATGTTGACCGATTCACCCTCTTCAGTAACGCCGGGTATGCCGAGATCACCTTTCATTCGCAGTCTGACGACGTCTTCGTCAGGATCCCAGGCAAACTTGCCAGAGGGTCCAATTTTGGATCTTTTGAAGTTTCTAACAGTGGTTCCGTCGTCAAAGTCGACCCAAAATGATGACCTGGTCAGACCATTGGTAACTCCAGGGAACAATCCAAGGCTGCGTAGAACAACTCGTTTGATGACAGAACACTCACTCCAGGTGCCATCTGCAGGACTAAACTGTGGAACAGCATGCACTTCAACCACAGGGCGACGATCTGCGCTAGGGGGTAGGAAGCCTAGGTAGAAAACCTTGCCACGAGTATCGGGGGCAATCGAGAAGGAGCTGGGTTGGGGATAAAGAGCCTTCTTCCTAATCGTGAAATGATGTCCTGCCTCAGCACCATCTGTGTGTTGGGAAATGGCTGAAGTGAACGAGAAGCGTTTGTTGAGCTTACTCGAGGATTTTCCAGCCCTCGGGAAAATGTATCCTTCCAGCCGCTGCTCAACAAGATCGAATTCTGCGATAGCATAGAATTCGTTGAGAGCAGTCTCTATGATGAAAGAATCACGTTCAAGCCATGTATGGAGCAGTTTTCCACGGTCCTGGGGGCCAGTGGAGAAGACAGCGCAAAGGCTATGAGGATGCTGAAAGAAAGTTCTCGGTGGCAGAGGAGGCGAGGAGGAGGTACCCCAGCTTGAAACACCATACTTCAGTCTCAGAGATATGAAAGAGTTATGTGGGGAGCGGAGGAAACATACGCCCAGTTCAACCAGGAGAAGAAGCCAGAGCCTTCGCCAGCAATGGCCTGAGAGTTGCGACATTCTTGCGGCTGAGGGTGGACATGCGCTTCTCCAACTACCAACAGCATCCCACGATTTGTCGACATACGAATACTCTCACCATCCCTAAGAAGTATACTCTCGGAGCGTTTCATAATGCACTCCCCAAGCTCATTACAGAGAGTGATGACGGTATCGGCAGCAGCATCATCCACTGGGTGACTTAGATCCTTGATCACAATAACACCACGGGAGCTTTGAGACACAATCTCACGTTAGAGCCGCACCTACATGGACGAAGGCGCAAGAGAGCAAAAACATATAAAAAAGAGAGAGAGAAGGAAAAAAGAAAAGGAAGGCCGAGCAGGCGAAAGAAAACAAACAAACGCACAAACACACGAAGTGGGATGTTATACCGTTGATAGATCAATAGATTCTGAGTAGAATCCACAAGGAAGCCATTGGTCAAGCTAGTAGAAGCACGCGCTACCTTTTCGATAATTTCAACGCGGGAGGGCCTCCCTTGCTTCCAGTTCATGGACCTGAAGTAAGCAGCGTCAAAATCTTTTCTAGTCCGTCGCATTTTACTGCACTCTGAGGACAACGGAAAGTAAAGTTTGTGGGCATAATGACACACTTCTTCTGAAGTGAAGTAGTTGTAGAAAGCTCGAGAGACTAGCCTCAGAGCAATCACATCACGCGATGAGAGAGACTCCAGGACAAACCGGCACAGCTCCGGGGGAATGGTAACGAGGGTTGGTCCCTTCGGAGCAGACATGACGAAGGGATAGACAGTAGGGATAAGGAGAAATGGGCAGAGTGGAATAAGAAAGGAAAAGGAAAACAACAACGAGGAAACAAAGGAGGGAGATAAGTCGCTCAGAGAGAAGAATCAAGCTCCTATAATGTTTTTATGTTGTGAGTTTGTTGCGTGAGGGAGGCCCGGGAAGCCTCACGATGATGGAGTGAGAAATCACGAAGGTGCATGCGAAGCGAAGGGCCGCTGGCTCCGCTGCTGCCAAGAGAAATTGAGATGGAAATCAGATAAGATAGTAAATTAATTCACCGAAAACGGCAGATCTTCAGTCCCAAGGGAAACACTAACGAGAAAGCGGTAGCCTACCAAAGATTTGGTATGTTAGCCGATGGCCAGGAACAGAAGCTGCTGACGTGAGCGCGCGGGTATGTATCATACCATAAACACTCTTGAAATTCGCTATCAGATTACCAGCGGGTGTCAGCCCACGATAAGTTTAGTTTGGCAAGTTAACAGAGTTGCGAATACCAGTTAACGAGATCAAACAGGGATAGGCGGTTCATCGCAGTCTACTCGCAACTCCAGAACACCACCAACTTTGAACGCTTGGTGCAGAACTGCCACAACTGCGCACCTAAGCTCTTCTATGAATGCCTTCAAGTTACCACTCTCTAGAGATCTGGAGAAGGGTTTTTGAAAGTATTAATTTGGGCAGGAGCTAGGCTGATTTCAAATTCGTATGGAGCTTTCACAGTTAACAGACAAGAGGCCAACCATAGCAAGTAATACCTTGGCATTATTCTCCCCAATTAGAAGCCAGACGCACATCACTACCGTGTTAGGAAATAATGGACATCTTCGTAAGCGACTTTGAATCGTAGTACCGTACCCGAGTAGTCTACACACGAGTATCACCATGATTTGTCCCAGGCAATGAGAATAGGGAAACGGGGATTCGCGGATATACCGTACCTATATATTGTAGCGGAAAATCCGTGCATACGGTACTGAGCGTCCATACGAGTATAAATTCACAACCCCTGTTTCCGGGTACGGTACTGTACGACTTCTTAATGTCAGAGACAAGTAACACAAGTTGATTTGGAGTGTCAGGAGTTATTGTACCGTGTACGAGTACAGTACTCGAGTACAACACAGCGACCGATCCGCTCCTTCTCCCCGCCGGTGCGCCAGCCCACATTACAGTCTGATTAGGCGTCGCGCAGACTCGCAAGTCTTTGCAGTCTGCCTGGTCGAGATTTTGTTTGTAGTGCCTAAATTATCTTCTGTGCGGGTACTGGCAGATGGAGAATCTCGTAATGCTGAAACAGACCGCGAACCGGGGTTGTCCTTTCTTTATTTCCTTCTTTAGTCCTCTCTCCTTTGTTTTTCATTTCTCCTTTCTTTTCTCCCTCCCTCGCTCTCTCTCTTTCCCCCCCCCCCCTTTGTGGAACCCCCACAACGTGCGTTTGCACTCGTAAGGTAACACCGGAAGAATACCTGTAATCGCTTTCGCCTCTCCCGCAGGAGACGGTTTTGACCGAAGAAGAGTTGCCATCAGGCAACAGCTTAGCTTCGTCCCAAGGCTTAATCTGCCGAGAAACTTAAAAACGGTGTGCTAAAGTAGCACCCGCTACAGTGCCCGCGACACTGCTGCAGTCACCAACCTTTACCCGCCCGTCCGGTGCGGTAAAGCGCACCATCGGGACAATAAGTTCTAGCGGCTTGTGCTCTACTGTACTGTAGGTACTACGCGTAAAGGCCCGCTCCTGGCGCCCCCTTGCAGCTATTTCTTCCGCCCCACACGATGGGAACCTTTTTCCCAGCCTAGGGAAGATGCACCCATCCAATGAGTGGGTGGGATTAGAGGGGTGAGATAGGGGGGCGAAGGGGGGGGGAACTGTTCGTAGTGTTGAAGCGCTTTTGGAAAGGACTGTTATTGCATGCCATCTAGATCCAAACAAAAGGTCCAAATTTCGGTGGTATGCGATTGCAGCCCGTTTTAAAAGCTCCTCGACATTGACAGTGGTGGGGGCTGTAATACGGCACTCTACTCTCGCAAATCAATTGATCTTGCAGCCTGTAGCACATACACTGGAGGTATATGCGTGGCCTACTCCACCACAAAATTTGTTTGCCAAACCGCTTGCAACGAGGGGATCTACTATCCCAATACAGGAGCACTGCGAATCTAATTACCTATCAAATCAATCACACAGCAGCTGAGCAGCCGCTCGAATGGAGTGAACGACGAACAGCTTCGTATCAGGCATGTGTAGGCTAACCTCACATATAGAGTGCTGTGCAGATGATTCCTACCGAAAACTGCCATCTAGTACTGTACATGGTTGACTGCTACAAGCCAGCCTATCGTATACTTGGGATGCCACTGTGCAGGCCCAGAATGGTTCGTGATGCAATCCTGATTGACTCGCCTTGGCTTGCTAGCGGTCACTAAATTGGACAACCAGATCCCCAGGTTGATAAAAGTGAGCAGTTAGCAGAGGAAGGAGGTCTAAGAGCACTGTGTACTGCTTACTGTGTACTGTGTGAACTGGTAGGAAGCGTTGTGCATGTCAAGCATGGCGGAGCTCTGGATGGTTTAATTGCTCCTCCTGAGACCCAGTGGCCGGCCGTAACAGGTACATGCTTGATCGGGGCCCCGCTCAGGTGCAAGCGCCCAAAACGGATCTTCATCTGCTCTCGTACCATACGTAATACCAGTGGCATCAGTGATTACGCACCCCTTCCGATGGCCCTACACCAGCAGTAGTACCACTTTCTGGGCCCCGAGACCTTCCAGCAGGAAACACCTCGTGACTCCACGATCCCTAGAGGGCAGTGGCAATGGCAATGGGCCCAACGAGAGAGTTTTACGCATCTCCAACTATCGGAATGCCAGTCATCATCAGTTCCTCAACTGGAGGAATGATGCAGTGCAGTTGATTGTGTGCCCACTGCTGTGTGTGCCCACTGCCCAATGTCTGCTGGAACCCTACTGGGAATCGAGGCACCATACTAAACCCTCCGTTTCTCTCGCGTAGCGCGGTAGGGGTAAGTATGTGCGTGGCCGGATTTGATCAATGTCTATCGTTCCTTGACACACGCCCGCTAGAGCAATTCGCAGACCCTAAATCATTACCCACATAGACGGCCCCACCCCGCAACTCCACAGGGATCCAATGAGAGCCCGAAGCACATTGGATGCAAGTTCCGTGATGCTCTGTCTTGTGCGCCGAGAAGGATTGATGGAAGCTGAGCTCAGGCCTGGCCTGCACTTGAGATAAAGTTGACAGTGATCACCAGAATCATAGCTCCAGCACCTAAGCTCCCTGCAGCCAGTAGTGTTGCCTGATTAGGCGATTGGTGGTTCAGCTGCAGGGAATACAAGCAGCCCTCCGAGGAAATTTCTGGAAAATAACCTGCAACCGGAGAACCGTTGAGCGGCGGAAAACGTGTCATCACATTAAAACCACAGCATTGTATAGAGAGAGGCGTGTCATGTGGATCTTCGGGGAGCCTTTACTCCCCCTCGTTCCTTCCCTGCAAGAGACCAGGATGTGATTTCAGTGAATTTTCACCTCGGAAGGCACTACTCTAGCTTCCAGGTTCCAGTGATTGCCTCTCTCTATCACATTATCCGCATCCCGCTACGGGAAGGAAGGAAGCCATAGCTCAAATACGAGATGCATCCATCACTAGAACTCGCCAGCAAGGACCGGTAGTTATGCAGTGCTTTGGGGGCGGATGAATCCTGCCCAAAGTTTTTGTGCGCATTGTGGCTGGGTAGAAGGGTAAACAGATAGAAGGGGGGTGTAATCATGGTACATAAGCCCTGAAACATATAACTCCTAGCACATATTATGATACTGGCGATACCAATTAGGACGTGTGCATGATACGTTCTGCGCCTTGGACTCTATCTCTCTCGTTCTCTCTCCTCTATCTCTCTTCTTTTTTTTTTTGTTCTTTTTTTTTTTTTTTTTTTCGAGGGAGTGAGCCTGGACGGAGAGTAGCGATGAATTGGATGAGCAGTGAGTGGATCTGCATGTAGAGGATAAAGTGGCACGCCCCAAAATCCCCACCAGCATGAGCCTAGAACAACTCTAGCATTTTCTGGAGAATGAAGGCATGTATCATACCGGTGCGAGGGGGAAAGCCAAGACGTAAGAACATTAAAAAAAATAAAAAAAAATCCCCGCCTCTCACCCTTTTTTCCTTCTTAAGGAATTAAGACTCAGTGCGGGCTACTCGAGTACCGGTACTGTACTGTACAGTACCTGAACGGTTGTTCCTACCACACGACAGAACAAGACGGCGGGTACTCTAAGTATTCGATTAATAGATGTCTCACCGTAGGGAAAGCGATACCGACATACGCTTGGGCAGCCTCGAACCTCATACGGTATTGGTATCTACTCCGCGTTGTCACCAGATGTGCCAATCGACTGTGGACCCTATTACTTAATGAGCGCGTATTGTAGACGGTGCAGGAATTGCTTCTATTCTGGGAAATAAAATAAAATAAAATGTGAGATTAATTGTAGGACTAGTTAATAAAATCAGTCGGATGAAGGGGGGTGGGGGGTTGAATTCAATAACAGGAGGTGCCGAACGAGCGGATACACAGGGCAGGATGGATGGATAGAGGGATGGTGTGAAAGAGGTGGAGACGGGCCCGCATCGAGAGCCGTCCTTGGACTTTTGTACGGTATCCAAGTTAAGGGTATATGCATGCATGCCCAGGGTGCAAGAGGGCAAGGGGAAAGGGGGAAAAGGGGGATGGATAGTGCGGTAGAGGGACCGATGAGCACCAATGGGGGGGAAAATTGGCTCTGAGATGGCTCCTGGAGCTCCGGGGAGGGGGGGATGCATCCGTACTGTACAATTATCATACAGTGCGTGGGATGTTGAGGGAAAAATTACCCCCACGCCACAAGGGGAAAAAGTCTTTTTCGTATGATATAATACCCCACCGGACGGCATTATGCGATTCAGGCGCTGGCCCAGCACAATGGGAGAGCCGACGAGTGACCTTTCAAGAAAGGGGCTTGCTGTAATGCTAAACATTTCTGCTCGAGTGCCGCATCCTTTTCTCTCGACTTAACCAAGATCCTAGTTCTATCACAATCATAAACAATCCAATTCAACCCTCGCTCGCTCAACCCACCGGCAGGAGGGTTCCAAAGGAAACCCTTTGTCGGGGAACGCCAATCATTAAGAGAGGATGGGAAAATAAGAAATTCGATTCCAGGCCCCCGGGTCAGCTGTTTTACATTTCCCTCGTTTACTTTTCCTTCTCCCGGTACTGTAACCAGCCCCCTCCCCCCGCTTCGACTATTTTTGCTGTGACAAAAAGCCCGGTGGTTCCGGATATAGGCGCAATTATATGTGAAAGTGTGACAGCCATACATAAAGCCATGCCAGAGCAATGACTACTTGGGACTAAACACCGTCTCCACTCAGTGCCCCGGCAATAGTTGGTTCCCGCGTTCCTAGATGCTGGAACCACAAGTTCCCACCATACTGGCTTGGATGTCCCGAGAAGCTGGGAAAGACCGGCACATCGCCAACGCTGCCATGCCCTTTTCTGGTACTGTGCGGTACATACCCTTCCACCCCTTGTCGTGACATTATCTCTCCCCACCCTTACGGGTCACACCCCGGTACCGGTCGCTAGTACAGCCCCCCCTCCCGCTAACATAACCTTACCAACCCAGGCATTCTACGAGTAATCCAACACACAAAACCCAAGCGCAGTCGAAGAAATGAAATGAAAAAGCGTGCGGAAACGAGAAGAAGAAAAAGAAAAGAAAAAGAAAAGAAAAGGAAACCACCAAGGGCGAAATGCAGAAGATACCAAGTGGGGCACCGGTAATGGGGGTAAATACCGGTATAAAATAAACCAAAAGTAAAAATATAAGGCGATTCCAGAAAAGGGAAACTCTACACTAGAGTAGTGGCCTCATTCCATGCCCCGTCCTCGAACAAGACGGGTTGCACAATTGTCCGTCCCAGTCACCATGTTCCGCTCCAGCATCCCTCTCTTTCCATGTCTAGGTCATATGTACTTGATCATCCTTTGTTGATAGCCAGCCAGCTGCTATAGTTGAACGTTGTGTAAATCGAACATGAGCGACTTTTCTTTGCGCTTTGGCCGCGATGTTATTTATTTACGCCGTCCTTTGCTAACGGTACGGATCCAGCCCATGAATGAAGCAAAGAACGAGTGCAAGTACATGTATGCGTAATGCGAATATGGAATGAAAAAATAAAAGAGGAGTTTGGTTGCCCTATCATGGGCCACCATGGATATCCCCTTTTTTCCCTTTCCCTCCAGGGTATGGTACCCCTCTCCCTACATGACCCCAGCCTATTGGGACCGGAGCTGTGGATGGGGAAAAGATGGACATTGGCGGTGATCAAGAGATACCCCATGTGTCACCAGGGTAACTGGCGCTCACCAACGTGCCTTGGGTAGATTTGCCTCCACTATCAGCAGCTGGGGCTTAACCCCTCCCCTAGAGAAATGATATAAAGCCAGAGGATTAGGACATGGTTAGAACATCAGCATCTGCAGCTCTCTCTCCGAGACCCAATTACCAATATAGCCCCCTCAGGCACTGCCGATTTCTTCCCTCCCTCCCTCCCTTCTCCAAAAGCCTCTTGGGCCGAACTCTCAATTCCAAACTCTCAATTCTGGGCTCTCAGATCCAAACCAATGGCCCCAACAAACCCGTGCTCTCATTCAGCGCAACGAACATCGTCTATGCATATAGCCACGCAGGTGAGCTGCATCACTCAGTCCGCCAGCGTGCCTGTTAGGCCGTATGTCGCGAGAGTGATGCTTTCGGAGATCCGTAGGCTACGATACGTAAGCTCGGGTCTCTCTCAGTTAGAGGCGTACGCATGCAGCTCCAATGCCCGGGAGCTAAACACTTCGGCTATACAAATACACGATTTTGTCGCCGAATCATCAGACGAAACGCCTTTTGAGAGATTCCTAGCCTGGGATCCGGTGGAAGATTCAAACGTCGTGTACGCGAGGCTGGCAACTGCAGAGGCTGTCAGGAGAGCCGTCGCCGCCGCCGCCGCCGCTGCATTGAATGCTCTTCCAGAATCAGACGAGCGCGAAGACGATGCGGCAGAAGACGAGCAGGATGGCAGGGAAGACGACGGTGTTGACGAGGAAGGAATGAACGACGATGGCACCGACAGTGACGACGGTGGTGACGATGACGACGATATGGGAGGAATTCAAATCGGGGGGAAATGATTAACCGCATTTTTGCTGTGATACCGGCTAAATCTTGTTAAATTTATGGGAGACCTCCTCTAGCTTTATTCATTAGTTGGCTTTGTGTTTTTTTCCTGTCTTCGGAGTCCTGCTTTTCCTAAATATTGTCACCTGTCTGTTAGAGCATAATGAAGAAATACACCAATATAACAAGTGCTATGCGGGTTCCTCACCAGAGATTAACAAGCGGAATCGGTTTATTTTGTTGGCAGGTTTGACAGTATGTTGATATACCGTTGATAGTCATATGCTAAAAAAAATGTATAACAAATGGGGACTCAAAACCCAAAACTCCGTGTATTGATAAAATTAATAGACTTGCATGATTGAATCGATTGTATGATACTTGAGCAGTGAGGAAGAAACGAAAGAAAAAAGACAGCCAGTTCACCCGGAAACCCCCCACCATGCAGAAACCCGAAATGAAATAGAAAGGAGAGATATTCACTTTCCGTCACCGATTGTTTAGATATCTATCTCAATGCCAAAATCATAATTCGCAATGACATCGTCGACACTGGCCCCCAGTCTCCCTCTTCCCTTCGTAGAAGAGCTAAGAAAACCAACGCCAGCGGGGCTGGATTTCGACTCTGTATCAGTCTGTGAGTCTCCGCTAGCGTTCTGAGAGTCCCCCCCTTCCTTTTTACCCCCATCCAGATTATGCCTGGTTTTGGCGACTGTTTTAACCCGCATGAAGGGGTTATGGACTGCAGCGGTCCTGGCTGCTCTCTTCTCTTCAATCTCAGCTTTGCGTATCTCGGCAACATTCTTTTTGCGATTCACCGCATTGAGTTTTGCTAGGCGCTCCATCTGTGATTTGGGAACTACAAGACTCTTGCCATGTTGATCGCCAAGGTCCTGGAGCTCCTTGTCAATACGGGCAACTTCAGCTTCATCTCCCTTAAGCTGCGCGGACTCGCGGGCGTCACGCAAACGCCCACGCTTGAGGACTATATTGACAGTATCCACTTTGTCTGAATTGCGTTTTCGAATCATCTCGTTGACTTCGTCTTGGGTAAGAACACGATTATCAAGTTCACGAAGTTCACGGGATTTTTTCTCCAACAAAGATAGGGGCGGCATAGCACAGTGGTCAAATTCCATTTGTTTCTTGAACCGGTTCAACTCGGCCTTCAATATGTTAGTTTACTGTTACGGACGCGATCGCAAACAAGCATACCTCAGTAATTGGGCTGTCTGACATGAACTCCATACCGAAACTTCTCTCCGCCAATCCTTGCGAAACACGTAAATGTTGATCGGTGCGGCGTTTGCCGTCGAGCATATTGTAATATTTTCCACTCACAAAACCTAAAAACGATATTAGAATAAAGGAAGAAGAATCGAATAATCAATTCACCTTTAACCCAGCCAAGACGATATGATGTAGTTCCTGTCTCTCTATCAAAGAGGGATACACGGACAAAGCAATCTGGGGAACACATTAGCGCACAAACATATCTCCCATCACGTCTCCGGAATTACCTGTGACCACTTCCTCGAAGCCAGGATAATCGCAAAGTTTTGCTAACCCAGTTCTGCCAATCCTAGCTTTATTTACGTCCGCAAGAACGATATCTCTATCATCCTCTTTGACGTAAATCTCTTCGTTATAGCCAGCCTTATCTTCGTCATCTTCATTGATACTCCTCCTCCTTGCTCGAGCATCATCTTCGTCGCCGGTTTGTTTGCCGGACCCGGCAGCACGAGTGATACGCTCCTCCCGGATCTTTTTGAGCTCATCCAGCTTACCCCTCTTGGTGGTTTCTTCGGTCTTTTTAGGCATACTCTTGGTCCTAGTGGATCTGCGATTGGCCCCAGATACAGATGTTCCGTTCGCCGTGTCGGCTGTATTCCTCGATTTGAGCAAGTTGCGAAGGTGACGATCCTGTTGAGCACGTTCGATCAGACCAGCACGCTCTGCTAGCAAAGCCTCTCGATCGATCTCATTCATTGCAAGTAACGCTCTCATGTCTGCCTGATCCTTGTATTTGCCTTCCAGTGGGTAGAGATCCTGGACGCTATCTTCCTCGTCGGAGGAGGATTCGAGATCCATAGATTCTTCAGCCTCAGATCGAAAGCCTTCCTCCGAGGAAGACGGGGCATCTGACAGGCCTGAGGAGCTGTTAATAGAATCATCAGCTCACCTTCAACAGTGGATAATGTGTCCTCGGGATAGCAAACGGCCCCCAAAAGGGGCGCAAAGAGCTAAACAAGAACATAGGAAAAATTTTATGTCCATGCCGAAAAGGGGGAAAGTATACTCACTCTTCGTTGCCTTTGTCATCGCTGTCCCTTCTTGTTTTTTTCTTGTTTGTCTTTCGAACGGTAGGCTTAGCTCTCTTTTTCGCGGGAGAGACAGAGTTTGGCGAGGACGTTCGTTTACGGCGTGGAGGTGAGGAAGGCTTGAAATCGTCTTCATCTTCCTCACCCGCAAGCATAAGTAGCTCGTTGTCGAGAGACATGGTGAGAACAAGTATGTGGGTGAGAACCGGTAGTAGAGCAGGGAAGAGATAAAATATAGAAGACAGAGATTAGGGAGGGAACTCTGGTAGTCGTTGCTAAGGTCGTATTCCTTCCTGGTGGTTGTTGTGGCCAAGGTTGTGTTTGCAAGGGCGGTGATGGAGAAAAGAAACAGGGAGGCGCGAAGTTGTCGAGGGAACACAAGCACGGTACGGTAGCGACGAAGTAATTTACGGGTACCATTGTTAAACCGGTTAAAACAGAGCCGCGGTTGGTTAGAAACCACAATGCCCTGATTAGTCATTCAAAGGATTAAGTGGGAAGAAGAACCGTAGCTATCTTACCGTACCGATATTTATTATAAGTATTCGCATAAGGAACAATTGATGACGTTGAAATCAATTGCACAGTATTGTACACCCTCTTTACTCCCATCTCCTCTTATTTACCTCCCTTTCTCGGAAATATCCCGCAGGCCAAAAATAAGAAGCTCGCTCCACCCCACTCCTCCAGATATCCCCACAGTAATAGGCTATTATGACGACCAGAAGACTCACCTCTTTGTTACCACATTTACGATGCCAGCGACGATCTCAATTTCCATACACCGGTACCCCCTCCTCCAATTTACAAGCTCATCGACTAGCATCAACCAAAGCTGCAAACATCTCGGAGACCGAACCTAGCTCGAAGTCACGGCCTCTCACCGAAGAGGAGCGAGAATTTCTTCAGAGTGCTGTGAGCAACCCCCTCCAACATCAATACCACCCAATTCCTTTAATGTTTGCCTAACTCCATTTTCAGATTCGTGTGAATCAAGCCGGTGAACTAGGGGCCAATCTCATTTACGAAGGGCAATATGCAATTCTAAAGCGTGACCCCCGCCTCAAACCTTTGATCCGACATATGTGGGATCAAGAAGTTCACCACCTCGAAACCTTTAACAAGCTTGTTGCCAAACACCGTATCCGCCCCACTGCATTACGCCCACTATGGAATGTAGCGGGATATGCTCTAGGGGTCGGAACGGCCCTTCTTGGCGAAAAGGCAGCAATGGCATGTACGGAGGCTATAGAAACAGAGATTGGATGTCATTACAACGACCAACTGAGGACACTATTGGATATGCTCAAGGATGATAAGGATTTGCTCCAAAATGGTGAATTGAAACAGCTCATAGACACTATCAGGGAGTTTCGAGACGATGAGTTAGAGCAGTGCGTTCCTTTACTCGACGTCTAAACCCTCAAAGTATTATTACTAATGAGAGCTGTCTAGCCTTGACACTGCTATTGAGCACGACTCGAAGGGTGCTGAAGGCTACGACGTCCTTTTCAATGTTATCAGAGTTGGATGTAAGGCTGCTATATGGCTCAGCCAAAGGGTTTGATATCCGAACGCTCTCAAAACTGTGTCATATTTAGGCTCCAACTCGTAATACTGTAGACGTCCATTCATTGTACGGGTAGTATATTTTCCCATCCCTATGCAATCCCTCGTGCCGCCATGGCAAAGTCCCGGCATGTGCAATGCCAGTGCAACTGCCAACAAATAAGCAATGGGCGACCGTAAACAACCCAAATTCGGGCCAACAAACCCCACCAGCAAAACTTACGTAGAATTTGGTAAGAGCGCCCCCCCCGAGTATGCCCTTCTCCCCGGTATTGTTTGTAGAAGGATCCTTAGACTACCGATATACCAATCTTGCCGTGCTCATCTGCTCCGGAGCACTCATTCCAGATCCGGCGGTATGATATAATCAACAGGATTAAGTAATCAGAATGCCAAAAAAACAAAACTTCACACATACAATGGCTTGGTAACTATACAAAACAAATGTTTGATTACTCGAGCACTACGGAGCATTATCTCCTGTTCCAGTTGAGGCGGCAACCCGACATGTTTCTTCCCCCGCAACCCCATCGCCGAACACTCGGTCAAAGTATTGCTACCATATACCGTAGACCCCGTCTCTTCCTTCCCACGGGCTCTGAAACCGAAGCCTTAAAATGTATCATACCAGTACCGGTATACCTGCAAGCTGAAAGACAACCCATTATCCGCCCCGGTGTCAGGGATGTCCATATAGTACCGCAAGTAAGCAGAACATGAATCATAATCAGTCGTTCGAGCTCCAGCCCCGGCCGAAACAACCCAAGTTCAAGAAGTGCAAACAATCCCCGAACACAAAAAACGAGTTGACGACATGCTGAAAGGCCCGGCAACTAGCAGTGGAGATCGAGGACCTTCACAGATACAAACTATAACGGTGCAAACAACCTTATTGCTACCACGTACAGTACCATTTAAGCGTCTATACTAGTTTTTCACTCCAAATAGCTCTATAATCTTGTCAATAGTGGTATTTCCACCACTTATGATGACCCCCAAATTCACATCTTTTCCCTGACCGGGCTTCTGCACAACCTCTCTGAACTCTTTGTTGTAGAGTGCCACAGCGACCGGCACAGCAGAACTAGGTTCGATCAAGACCTTCATCCTCTCGACCACCAACCTCATAGCCAACTTGATCTCCTCGTCACTGACGGTATACACACCAGAAACGTAGCTTTTATCGCTGATAACCCCCCAATTAACCAAACCAACCGGAGTACGTAGGCCATCAGCTATGGTCAGGCTCTCGACACTACCCACCCTCTGCCCATCCCTCAAACCCCTCCAAGCATCATCCGCACCCTCCCTCGGCTCCGCTCCAAAAATCTTGACCCCAGTCCCCTTACACGCAACAGCAACGCCGGCAAGCATTCCCCCGCCCCCACAGGGTGCAATGATCGCATCCAATGGCATCCCGAGCTCTTCCGCCTGTTCAGCTAGCTCCACCGCCATAGTGCCCTGTCCAAGTACGATATGCGGATGATCGTAGGGCGGCACGAGCACCGCTCCCGTCCTCTCCTGGACCACCCTAACCTCAGCTTCTCGCTCCGCAGATGTGGATCCCGAAAAGACCACCTGCGCTCCGTATCCTTCCGTCGCGGCGATCTTAGACGGCGTGGATATGCGCGGCATGACGACGCAGCAGGGTATCTTGAAGCCTCTTACCGAAGAGGCCTCTCTTGCCGCAAGTGCGAGCGCTTGCGCATGGTTACCTTGATTTTTCCGTTAGTTTTGAGCTCCTCCATTAGGGGTTTGGGTTGGTTGGTTGGAGGGATAGAGAGGCAATGAGGAGGGGGGGCGGAGAGGGAGGGAGCAACCCGAACTGTGAGTCACAACACCCTTTCGCAATTCCTCGTCCGTAAGCCGGGCGAGGGCATGTGTTGCTCCGCGAATCTTGAATGCGCCGATCTTTTGGAGATTCTCGCATTTGAAGAGTAAATTGACGTTCATATCACCCGATGATGCGAGCTTTGATAGTGTCGTGGAGGTAAATACAGGAGTACGGTGGATGCGCGACTTGATCAATGCATGTGCTTCTAGCACGGATTCTCTTGTAAGTGGAAGCTGCGCTAACGACATTGCTTTTTTTGTTTCAGACTTTCAGAGCTTCCCAGTCTTTCTTTCTTTTTCCCTTTCCTTTATCTATCGCCGGTATGCTCTCTCTCAAAGCAGTGACAGAACAGGGGGGGGTGTACGAGTACGGTAGTGCAGGGACGAAAGGTTGCTGGTGGTGATGGTTGCCATTCTCAGCACGGACCCTCTAGTCTTCCTTTCAGGGAGGGGAGGTCACAATTGAGTTTTTCGACAAGGGTCTAGACATCTCAAGAATCATCCGGTGTCACTCGCGTGCGGCTACAGGGGGGATGATCCTATGGTGCGCGCACCAGGCACATTTTCTATCAAGCTCCAACACCCCTCCCCCTCCCCCCCCCAAAAAAGCCTTCGTGCATGCATTACCAATATTAACTTCGAGAACCATTTCCACCACTATTCTCTCAGGCATTCCAAAGATACATAAGAGACAATGGACGTGTTAATCAATACGTAATGTCCTAGTTATTATTTTTCTTTTTCTCATCTCCCCCTCCTTATATAGCACGGGAGCGGTATAGTCAGTTCTTTTTATTAGCATATTCGTAACCGGGCGATGCATTCTCGCTCGGCAGCTTTGCCTTAGCCCTAACGCTTAGGCCAACTGCTGGGACTGCAACCGCGTCCACCTCAACGACAACGGCACCCGGCAACGCCGGCGAGAAAAAAAAAAAAGGGATACACACGTCAATTATTATAAGGCGAGCTACGAGTACAGTAGATAACAGACAGCAAATAAATGAAGAGAAAAAGAAAAGAAAAAAAGGGTTCGACGGATCGGCTTCCCGTAATGCGGTCTCCACCACTACACATTAATTGAGCATCCCTTCGCTCACGCGGACGGCAACAAAAAGATCGTGGTGGTTGGACCCCGCTGAGCCCTGCTGATACCCGGTCCTAATCCCAATTACGGGTTAGTGGATTCAAGTATAGGGATGCAAGTGGAATGCTAAAGAAGAAGCATGGAGAAGATGGAGGATTGAGTATCTGCAGGTTTCTAATACTATCACCTTGCCTTTACTTTCTGCCAATGCAGTGTTTTTTATAGTTTGAAGCCTGAATGACATGTGCTGACTATAATGGAGCATGCAAGAGCTTATCAATTGCTATAACAGGTATAGTATTATTTTTTTTTTTTCTTCCACCAAAGACTTGGAACATGTTCAGCTGATAGACATTCTACTTTGCTGAAGAGGACATTGCAGGATGGTACAAGTACTTGCATATTATTATTATTATTATTATTATTATTATCTAAAAAAGAGCGCTATATGGTTTATTCTATACTTTTAAACTAATATATAGTTTGCAATTGTCTATACATTTTTATCTACATATCGCTTTTTTATTAGTTGTATATGATGATTTACATACTTCTAACCTGTATTGGAACATAAAATAACAACAAATGTCAGCATAAATTACAGTTAATAAATAAGAAGTTTCAAGCGTTAGTCCTTTTCCTCTCAATATTATAATAAGGAAAAATTAGACTAAAGGCTTACTGTTCTCCTTTCTTTAATACTTAAAAAACACATCATAATATTATTATTAACTAAAAGTATACAGTTTAGTTAAGTTAGTTCAAAAGGAATTATAAAATACTATTAAAGAGATATAATTTATGCTACTATCAAGCAAGTAAAAGTTATTACCTTATATTAATTATATTATTATTTATAAAATATATTATAAAAACAGAGTGAAAGTACTATTATATAATGCTACTTTAGTTTGTGTTTGAAAGAAGGTTATATGTTTAGTTTATATCCCATTATTTATATATATAATAATATTATGGTACCACATATAGGCTATAAAGTTTAACTCTACAATCAAACTTGGTATCATACTCCTGGTTAGCTCTATCGTGCTTCTCTAGTAGAAAATTCAACTTAATGGACCGTCGGTTCCTTGATTGAATATTTGCCCTTTTTTTTTTTAGGAGCTATCCTATCATTTCTCCTCTTTCTAAACGTTACTCTCGGACTAGAATATCTCTCCGGCGTTTAAAAGACAATATTTCGCTTATCAGCCTAAAAAGTAGATAGGCTTGTTGCAGTGTTGAGATCGCCCAAGTTCTCAAACTCCCGGCGCGCCACCGGCTGTACCTGAAAACCCTCGATTTAACATGTTTGACCCCAACGCAAGGAAACCCCTGAACAAAGAAACTCGAAGACTCTCTAATAGTCGTACTCTCATTGCGATTCCGCTCGATTGGAGAGAAAAGGAAAACGTGAAAAGGAGCGGTTCGGGTAAACCGTGTCGGTAGTCATTTCTCTAGTCCTGAGCGAGAATGCCTTCCCATCACTCGAATTTATACCCAAAGCTCTGTGTTGAAAATGGCAGTTAAGTACCCGTAGCTCAGACTGGAGGCTACAGTGGTGTGCGTACCTCTCAGATGAGGACGCGTAAGCAGTGAAAAGTTTTCACCTTATTTCTTTCCTATTTCTTTTCTTTCTTTTCCTTCTTAACAAGAAGAACAACAAACTCCACTCCACACCTCTTGTATGAAACTCTCCTCACTCTTTGTTCTCTACTCTTCACACACATACAATACAAGGTTCCCTCATTACCATTAGAGCCAACTTAGTCCACTGCGTAAAACCCACCTTTCAGTCATTACTGTTGCAACGACAACCGGTTTTATCCTGTCTGTCGTCCTCAATTTCCAACACTCTGACCCCTAATTACTTTTCAATGAACCCCTCAAAACGCTCCGACCGCAATTTACACCCTCTCGCGCCCATAAACGTGCGCGAGCGGGCTAGCACGGGGCCGGACAGGGTCCCCGGAACCCACGCGCATTCACCACATCCTCCGATCCACCTACCTCATCCACTTTTCGCCCCGGTGAGGCATTGTGTGATATTGTGAATTATATTAGCGGTTTTATCGGGATGCCCAAGAAAGCTAACGAGCGATAAAAGGGAGACCTAGTGCGCCCGGTAATGGGTCTGAGTGGAGTATATAAAGCGGCATAATGGCCCGGGGTGGCCGTACTCGCTGGTGGATGAATTTTTTACGCGAAAGCTTTTTTCTTGGTGGGAATGCACGTATGTTGGCGGATGAGTAAGTGAGTGGGTTTTGATGGGATATAAGGGCCATGATACCCTTTTGTTTATTATATTTTTTGTTGTTTCGATTCAGCTTTTTTTTCGCTGGTGAGCTCCTGCAGAGCGATGCCGTGGAGTTCTGGGGGTGTACCTTGGGCGCTATTAGGGAGATATTCTTTGAAATGATGTGTTTACTCGTCTCGCACCTTTTCCTAGTCTTTTCAGTGGTCTTTTGGCTTTGAGTTTTCATCCGCTCGGCAGCGTCCGGATGGCACCACCCCCGATGACCAGTTTCCCGAACATGGGAGCTGACCGCTCTATCTGGGAGAGTATAACTTGCCTTGCCTTGGGGATTCTGCTCCCACCTCGCCTCGCACCGTTCTATCGCGTCTGGTGGAGATTCGGAGAGGTTTAATCGGTTGAGGTTCATTGACCGATCAGGTCAGGTATGACATTATCATGTTTGGTAATGGGGAACCCTCACCCTCCACTCCCACTTGTTTTCCAAAAGACACTGACGGTTTAGCGATGTCCCTACGTCTTCTTAGTCCATGGGTGAACCTCTGACTCGGGGATTCGGATAGCAGGGAAAAATCGGAGCTCAATAGGGGGCCTCAGATTAAGCGAATGACAGCGTATGACGGAATAATGAATTTTCAATTTTTCTGAAAAGCGTTAGAATCACAAAGCCAAAGAAAGGCTTCTCCCGGAAAGACAAATTGCCTTATGACACCCAAAACTCCCGCAGTCTTACCGGCCGAGAAAAAACCCTTCCGTCACCAGTTATCACTGCATCCCCTTGAACTGCACCTCGAAAAGATGTTTTTTGCAGAAGTCTTGGCTCTACCAATCAATCATCGCTTGCTTATGATAAGATCTATAATACTCGTAAATCAAAGGTTTTTAACAGCAGTTTACCTGGTTTGGACCCTTCGGGGCCAGAATTGAGGTCAGAAAACGATGCCTTTTAGCCGGCTTGAAGCCTCGATGGCCCTAAGGAACGATCAATGGGGAAAGAACTATGATATCATATTTTTATCTCCTTAACCGCTGGTAAGACGAGAATAATTATTATGTTAATATCCGTTATGCTCGGGTATACTGTACGAGTACAGTACTGGAGTATCCAGAAGACATAGATTTAACCCTTGTTTCTATAAGTGTCATACCCGGTGAAATGTTCAGGTACAGTGCAGAAGAGGGTATTATTCTGCAGGTTAACCTAGCTCAACTGTTCAATAATTTTTCCCATGTATATAGGTGAACCACTGTGCAGTACTGTAGCGGGTTAAGTTAAGTGAAAGAAGGAAAAAAAAGACCCCCCACGGTGGTAGGCTTGTGCGACTGTCTTGGCTTTCCTTCCCCGTAGCCATCTCGGGTTGGAAGAGAAAGAAAAAAAGTCCCTCCAAACCACCCAAGTTTTTTTTTTTCATTGATATTTGTTTTCCTCGACATTTCTTTCTTCATCTCTGGTCACTCTATACCCTCCCTTCCTCCAAAATACCCAATGGCTTCGCGCACTTTCACCAGGGTATTGCGCCCTTTCGTTTCTCGTCAATTTGTCGCTCCCGTACAGAAGAGGACTATTATCACCGCCTTTAGTGCTGCCAGAGCCACTGCCGCTGTCACTCCCCGTTTCGCTGGCGTGTCCGTTCAGCAAAAGAGGGGTGTTAAGACAATTGACTTTGCCGGTGTCAAGGAGGAGGTTTACGGTTAGTTATATGTGATGATAGGGGTTCCTTCTTGGGGGTTTGTGCTGACTTTTTTCTTTTTCTTCTTTGCTCAGAGCGTGCGGATTGGCCTAGGGAGAAGCTTCTCGTGAGTCTCTTCCGGCTTGATTCTTTATCGTGAATATTTTCAATTGAGGTATTCATGTTTTGTTCGTTCTAATTGGAAACAGGATTACTTCAAGAATGATACCCTCGCTTTGATCGGTTATGGATCTCAAGGTTTGTCTTGTTCTGTTAATTGAACAAGAGGAAATGGGCTTTTTACCTCCCCTCTTATTGTCAAGCGCCCTTTGGGAGGATTAGGCTTCCCGGGTTTCTCGTATCAGAGATTGTACTGACGAAAGAATCCTTGAGGACTAGGCCATGGACAAGGTCTCAACCTCAGAGACAACGGTCTGAACGTCATTATCGGTGTGTCCCTCGATCTCTATCTCTATGCTATCGCAAAAGGAAAAAAAAAAAAGGCTAACATTTACATCATAGGAGTACGGAAAAACGGTGCCTCTTGGAATGAGGCCATCAAGGATGGATGGGTGCCAGGAAAGAATCTCTTTGAGATGGACGAGGCCATCAGTAAGGGAACAATAATTATGAACCTTCTCTCGGATGCCGCCCAGTCCGAGACGTGGCCCGCCATCAAGCCGCAATTGACGCAGGGGAAGACCCTGTACTTCTCCCATGGGTTTTCTCCCGTGTTCAAGGATTTGACGAAGGTTGAGGTGCCTACTGATATTGATGTTATCCTTGTGGCACCCAAGGGGTCTGGGAGGACTGTTAGGACTTTGTTCAAGGATGGTTTGTTTGCTTGCTGAGAAGAGGGGGTGATAGTGGGAGAGAAGAACGAGGTGACTCATGTTTTCAGTTAGGCCGTGGTATCAACTCTTCTATTGCCGTCTGGCAGGACGTTACCGGCAAAGCTAAGGAGAAGGCTATTGCTCTTGGTGTTGCCGTCGGTAAGTCCCACACTCTTCAGAAATATATCGCCATACCACGGGTACTGATGCGCCACTGCTACAGGATCCGGATACATGTACGAAACCACCTTCCAGAAGGAAGTCTACTCTGTAAGCATCCCCAAAACAACATCTTGCCCTAAACAACCAACACCAGCTGTGTACAGGACCTCTATGGCGAGCGCGGCTGCCTCATGGGCGGAATCCACGGCATGTTCCTGGCGCAATACGAGGTCCTTCGCGAGCGCGGACATTCCCCCTCGGAAGCATTCAACGAGACCGTCGAGGAGGCAACTCAATCTCTCTACCCATTGATTGGCGGTGTAAGTCCCCTTCTCTCCCCCACTGCACCCACCCCCCCCCCAAAAAAAAAAAAACCTAGGTAACAATGAAATGAATCGGAATAGAACGGTATGGACTGGATGTATGCTGCCTGCTCAACCACTGCCCGCCGCGGCGCCATTGACTGGACCAATAAGTTCAGGCACAACCTGAAGCCCGTCTTCAACCAACTTTATGATTCCGTCATCGACGGCTCAGAGACTAAGCGCTCGCTCGAGTACAATTCTGACCCCGAGTATCGTAAGAAGTTCGAGGCCGAGCTTGAGGAGATCAGGAATATGGAGATCTGGAGGGCTGGGAAGGCTGTTAGGTCTCTTCGTCCTGAGAATAATTAGATTTAACTACGATATGGCAGGTAGGTTAGCCAGCTCGCTAGTCAGTGCAGTTCTGGGGGAGAAGTTGAAAGGATGAAGGTCAACTTGTGTTTTCATATTCTACCCATCTTTCTTTTCTTATTACGGGAAGGGTGGAAAGTGGGAGTGTTTGGCGGGGGCAAAAACAAAAAAGCATTTGATTTTTCGGGTTCTCTCTCGCTCCCCTTACTGCAGCAGATTGATATCGTATATCACGTGGGTTAGTGATTGGAGAAGACTCCACCTCTACATATCATACCATACAAAGCCCCTCATTTCATCCTATCAGGGCTCATAAAGCAGTGATTCAGCAAACATCGAACAAGTATGAATAGATTCCATCCGTCATGCCAAAAACATTTGAGGGGAAAAAAAACAAGAGATGGCACAATCGCACGATCTGCAACACCCGATCCAGGACCCTCATACAAAAAGACAGAGAGATAAGAGTGAAATTTGCAAGGAGAAGAGGGGAGAGGAAAGAACACACGAATAATCGCTAAGTCTGATGAATTTCGACCATGGCAGAGAAACAGTTCCCTTACGTATGGACGTCCGGTGTTCAGGGCAAGCAAAACGAAAGGAGGAACAACAGAAGCGAAGTGATACCCCCCGCCCTTACCCCCTTCCTTAATTGCCATGACCCATCGGTTTCAAGAAAGAGGTTTAAAAGAAAGTCTAATTGAACATGTAATGGCCAATCAACATTGACAACAAGAGCTGCATAAGTAAAAGGAACTTTCAATCAATATTCTCTAGGTAAGCTAGGAGGAAAAAATGAAAGAAATAAGAGTAAAAATAGAAAAGGCTAGCTAGAAGAAGAAAAAAAGAGAGCAGGCAGGCAGTCACCCGTCTATCTATTTTAGAACCCGCTCAAATTGAACATTCTTAACATAACCTCCATTCATTGAGTTTTTGACATTCCTCTTGAAGTTTTCGCGAGTGAGCCGTAAGTCCTCCGCGGCTTCCTTGTTGAGTGGATCGGATGGATTAGGTTCTAGGAAGAGGAACTATATCGATGGAAATATCAACTACTGTTAATTCTGGTTCCCAAATATACTATATGTCTGGGAGGGATTTAACTACCTGTAACCCAACAATAACAGCATTAAGATTCAATACGGGCTTCCAATCTTCTCTCAAGATATTCAAGCAGACATTCCCGTCAAGGTCAATGTTTGGATGATATATTTTCTGTGTGCACTTAACCTTCGGGGGTTCGTGCGGGAAGTTGCTATTGATGGCAAAAGTAAAGTTGAATGAACCGCACTTGTACATCCCTAATAATAATCCCAAAAGAAGGTTTAGAAAACCAACAAGCCCAATGAGGACATAAGGACAGGTTTGAATAGATGAGTGGACAAACCTTCATCCGGCTCAATAGTCAACGTAAAGTTCAAGATATCTTCGGGGTCAGGCATGTGCATCCTGATAGTTGGAGGTAAAGATAATTCTGACAAATCTAGCAAGAGAAGGAAAAAGCATAAGCAACAACCCCGACCAGATCATATAAGCCGCTAGCCCCGATAAGAGTCACGAGAGTGATAAGAGGGGGAAAAAGTATAGAAACCTTTCTGAGCCCTCAACTGAGCAGCGGTAACCTTTTTCTTCTTCTGCCCGCCCTCCGCGGCAGACGCAGCCTGCTGCTGTTGCTTCTGTTTCTATCGGTCAGCACTCACTCCGCACCAATAACAGGAGAAACAGGAGGAGGAACCCCTCATACCATAGACCAGATTTTCAACATCTTTCCAAGTACGCAGGGTATTCTAGTAGCAAAAACAAACAAGGGATACGATAGCAAATAAAGGAAAGGAAAGGAAAGGAAAAATCCGGGAGCAGGGGAAGTGTGTATGATAGTGAGATGGTGAGGTAGATAGAGTGGGTGGATATGGGAAAGCTATGGGTTGGCGAGTAACAGACGTGATTATGGTAATGGGAGCCTTGGTGGCGCTAAGGGTTCAGCAGCTGGTACCCGTTGGTTGATCTTGTTTGGTTGCTGTGCTCTCTCCCTCTCGTTCGGCGCGGAGTGGGCGAGTGGGCGAGTGGGCGAGTGGGCGAGTGAGGGAAGCGGAGCCGTTGATAGAAGGTGATGAGAATTGTGACGTGGGGATACGATGGGTAGCAGGTGGGTAGGTAGGTTTGATAAGTAGGTAAATATTGTCGTTGGGGGTGTTGCCCGGTTACAGTGGTAGGGTTAAGTGGCGGGGAAGTGGTTAAGAAGCAGTGGGAGGTTTGGAGGGAGGGGGGAAGGTTTTTGGGTTGATAGGAGTTTATTGTTCTCGGGGGTGCGGTGGGTGGTAGTGGTTAGTCTAGTTAGTTAGACTGAATCAGGTGGGGCTTAAGAATGGAATACCGGGGGAGTGGTAGAGAGTGACAACCACATCAGGGCCGCGGGGTGCCGTGACTTATAGTATGATAGCAGTAGAATCGAAAAAAGGGTTCGGGTGGAGAGAGTAGGAACTTTCTGCTAAAGAGTGTGCCGATGCCAAAAAGTGGATGTATGATATCGTACCTGTATGATATAATACAGTACCGGTACTCGTAGAGAAAGGTCCACAGATGACTCGACAGTCTCGGGGAAACTCAACGTTTTTTCTCTTGAAAGGGCAACGGCCCAAGCGCTTCTGGGCCGAAGCTTAGCACGAAATGAGTCTAGAAATGATGACAAATCTTTGAACTCCTCCACCTTGGGCCAGTTTACGATTCTGTAGTCACATTCTTGTGAAAGACCCCCTACGATATTGTTTGAAAATATGTCACGATATGATAGTACCGCATTTTTTATTGCAACTTCATAGCAACAAGCTCAAATCAGCCCGAACGTACGATACTAGCGAAACCACCAACTTAACATTCATGAGGAGAGATTTAAATCGTGTTATCACCCATTTTCTAGAAGTATCTTCATGTGTCACCAAACAAAACAAAACAAAAGAAAAAGAGGAGGCGATTCCAATTTCTCCAATAAAAAAAAAAGTAACTGACCAATGCAGTATAGTCACTAAACAAACAGAAAACAAAGGAATGCACGGTGTTTGGAAACGACTGTAACAAGCCGGTGGAAAACAGGAGAAAACTACCAAAGGAAACATAGAGGAAAGAATCGAATAGCTCAGACACCGACATCGTTAACCAAGTCTCCTCTGCCGGAGCTTGCTCCTCAATCAGTAATACAATTTCAAGCACCAGCACATATTATTATTCCACTTTAGTTCGCTTTCTCGCATTCCTCGAATGCCTCCTCGTCACTCGCATCGAGGACATCGTACTCATCGTCAGTCAAGAAACTCTCAACCTCATCCCCAAGGGAGCCGACATCGACTTCACTCTCATCATCGCCCATTCTAGTAGAGGTCTTGCTCATGGGGACGGATACTGGCATATTCTCACCCTTCAGGCTTACACCAGCAACCAGGTTCTCGGTTGATGCAATGGGGCTTTCAACAGGGAGCTTGGGGAAAATCATCTGGGAAGAAGCCTGCGAGCCGTCGTTGGCGTGCTCGGAAACATCCTCAAACTCATCCTTGGATTCCAACACAGATTGTTCCATTTTGTCTTCCTTCGGCCTCTCAATAGACTGAATCTCGCACCAGAGCTTGTCTCCAAACCTGGATCCATCAGGTCCAACAAGGCGCCAATAGGTGATCAAACGACGGTTGGTGACGAGGGGTGCCTTAAGGTTAACGCTGAAAGCAGCATTGTTACCGGGAGCAGTTTCAGTGGAAGATACGGTTGCACCGATAGATGATCCTTCATTGTTGCTGAACATCTCATCACCACAAACAAACTGAATGGAAACACCGGCTGGCCATGTGGAGCTTCCACTATTGTTCAATATCCATGTTTGAGTGAATTCATCGCCAGCAATCACTTCACAGCCGTCAGGAATGGTGTCCCTAACAAAGGTGGCCTGTAGCGGTTCCGGCTCTGGTACCACCGGTTCGGGTTCCGGCCCAGCCCTAATCTTTGGTTCAGCCTCTGGCTCAAACTTCCCTTCCTCGGCAGCTAGGACTGTTTTCTCCAAATACTCCTCCACATTCTCAAACGGAGGCTCGGGCTCCTCCACAGGTTTAGCATCAGCAACGGACTGAACTTGAGTAGCAGCATTGGTCGTGGGAACGGGAATAGGAACATCACCCAAGATGTTTTCCGAATCCTGATTCTCCATAGTTGTGACATGAACATTGCGAACCGGAGTCTTCAACTTGATAAGAGGATGAGTTGCGTTGTGTGGGTTTGTAGGGGAGGCCTCGCAGGAGGCACAGAAGTCTGTATCAGGGCATACAGCACACTTATACCTATCACCGACAATCCAAGAGCGATTGGTTTTATCTGCACACATTGGCCCATCGCAGTAAATACCAAAATGTCTGACAAAGTCGGTATTGATGAACCCGACAGGTAATGGCTCATATATAGGGACAAAGCGATGTCCGGGGTGGTTCTCGGGCGCAGCGGAGATACAGTTTGCGCAATAATCCCAGTCGGGGCAGCTCAAACATTTATTTCTCACTCCATAAATTTGCTACAAATCAATTAGAAACGGTTCAAGTAAACATATGGGGGGATAAACAGACCTTATCACAGCCATCGCAAACGGCATAGTGACGGTGGGCTCGACCAGGAGCAAGAAGAGAGATTGCATATGGTTGAAGCATGGTATCTGGAGCAGCCGGCACAAACTCATGGCTTGGGTTGTGGCCGTGCTTGAGTGAAGTGTGACACGAAATGCAAACATCATAGTCTTCGCACACCTTACATGTGACGAACTCCTTGCTAGGTAAGTCTGTAATAGAGATTTAGTAACCAGTATCTCGTAAAAAAGCCAAATCCCAGGGATAAAACTCACCAACAACGCAGCAGTTGCAAGTACGGCGGGAAGAGGTTTGCACAGATCCATCCTTCTGAGACACAGACTCGGTCGTGCTGGAAACGATAACCCCCGTGGGGGAAAGCACACGCTTGATCAACCAATGAGAAGAGTCTTTGCAGTGAATCCCACGAGCCACACAGCCCTTACAGAGGTCATAATCTCCCCCATCGCAGCATCCGCAGTGATAATGCACATCCTTGATACTAGTCTCGCAAGAATTGCAGTATATAGCGTAAGTGAAGGGTGAGGGAGCAACCTTGGTCTCGAAATTTTCAAATTCCGAAATATCAGTAGGAGGAGCGGTGAATGGAGCGGGAACCGGAGCTTCCAATGGGGCTTGTTCAAGTTTCTCCGTACTCTTCTCCAGTTTCTCAACCTCCTCACGAACGGTTTCCCTAAGTTTTTGAAGATACTCGTCGCCACTCAAGTAGGTAGAGACAGCATCGGCAACCGCTTGACCGAGATCAGCAGGCGGAGCAAACTTAGTGGTCGTATCTACAGTCGCCAGTTCTTCGAACGGAGTCTCGACCGGTACGAGGGAGACTTTAGATGCGTATGCCGGAGGCAACGAAAAGTGGCTGACATTGGATGGTGAAGGTTGGGTTGAAGGACCGGCTTCTGTAGATGGGACATTTCTCTGACCCGTTAATGTATCAGTGGACGAAGAGGGGTCAACCGGAGCAGGGACTAAAGCGACATCAGTAATTGAGTTCGGTAAGGCTAAGAGATATGATATAGTATTCTTACCCTCTGCAGGAACAATGGTCGCTTGGATCCTGAGCTTCAACTTAGCTCTCGCAGCCCGGTAGAGTTGCTTGAAAGCAGTGGGTTCAGCGGTGTCAAGGATGACATAACCACCAGCGCTATCGGAGTATCTTTCAAAGACTACTTGTTTATCCTCAGGAATAGCGAGAAGAGTGCGAAGCTATAATATCGGTAGGTCATCCCAAGTTAGCTGTCACTCATCTTTATCACGTAAGACTTTACTTCACTTTTCTTTTTCCTTTTTTTTCTCTTCCCTCCACTCGTAGCCTCGTCGCCACCCGAGGGTCGGCTGCACGAGGAAGGGAGGCACGACAGGAAAAGGGACCTAAGATGAGGGGTTATGAAATTCAGGATAGGATAGTCTTACCTTCGGAAGGAGGACATTTGCACCGAGATCCCTCAAGACGAGCTTGAAGCAACGAGTGTTTCCGTTAAAAGTAACTTTGGTTTTGATGGCCGTATCTGGATGAACAGTGCCGTGGCTAGCCATGACAACAAAGGGAGCTGTTAAGAAGCTGAGAGTCTGATGTCACGATCAAGAATGTAGTGTGTGCGATGAAGGATACCGATACTAATTTTCTGAATGATATTTGTGGGAGTGCTCGTTTAGAGAGCAGGAAACGAGAAAGATAGATAAAGGAAGGGTGAGTGGGAAGAGAGATGGATGAATGTGGGGAGAGAGCGGGAGGGTTGGAGTTATGAGCGAGAGGACGGATGGAGGGTAGGTTAATGAGAGACAGTGGCCTAGGGTGGGCAGTGTTCAGTCGACAAAAAGGTAGAAGGAACCGGGGGGGGGGGTATGTAAGCAGGTGGGGAGGGGGAAAGGTCCGTTCTGAAGAAGAGAGGGGCCAAGATCTCTACTGTAGAGTCATAGAGCCAAGCAAGAAATAACCGGAATGGAGGAAAGAAAGGAATTTACATTCATTCATCCGTCCATCTATTATAATATTATTGATTCATTCATTCATCCATTCAATTATGGGCAGAAATGCAGGAAGAAAAGTAAAGAAAGAAAGGGACAAGCAACCTCGAACCGCCTACGCTCCCGCTGCTACTGTGCGATCCTCCTGGGTGAGCGGTCCGGTAGGCTTACAGCTACAGTGCTGGTATCATAAATTACCACCGGCATCGTGGGGGACTATCATTACTGTACCCCGTGAATCAATCCTACAAATCCATAATCCAGCTCCATACGGTACCCCGTACTTGATCACAGCAAACCGATGGTAGAACTTCCCAGATGCAGCGCAAGGGCAACTAAATTTATAGCTTTGTGCTTTTTCTCTCTTCTTCCTCCCTCGGTTCAAACGAGACCCTCACTTCACCGATCACCAGGATCGATTAGACCGCGATAAAATGCAACCAATCAGCGATCGCCATCTCCATCTTATTCAGGTTACAACGCTGACGAGGTCCTTCTCACCCTCACTCACTCACTTACTCTCAGACTCCCTCTCAGTGCTGTAGGAGTCTGTTAGTTTGTGTTGTGGTGTGTGTGCTGAGCGGGTGTAGCCAGAGTCAACTCCAACCCAGGTTGCACCCGTTCTCTACTGTACCTACCGTACCGGTATCATACACACGTAACTGTGATAGCTAGAACGCAAGCACCGGTACGGTGCCGTCCGGTCGTCTAATTATGGCATTTTCTGATACCTACGACACGGTACAGTAATCACATTTTGAAAAGGCCAGGTCGGCGGACGAACCACCATCACCCCCCCATATTAAGTTACCTTATTCTACGGGGATGATAGTAGCAATTAAATGCCATGATAGGCGCAATCCCAAAGTGCAGGACAGTGGCGAAATCACACGATGAATCCCTTTATCGTCCTCCCTCCATTCTCTAGTGGAGCACGAGCAGACTAGACAGGTTAGTCAACTCACGACCACAGCGACAAAGCACCCCAGACTGCACCAGAGGCCCAGAGCCGCCACCAACTACGAGTACTGCGCACCCCCCTCTATCCCCCCAGCAAACAAAAATCTCTACAGCAGAGAGTAAATCATATCCCGGAAACCGCACCCCCCCCAAAAGAATGTTTCACAAATCCTCGAGAACAATACCGGTAGCACGTTTGCAGCGAAACGCGCGTTGGTGTCACCACCCACCGCCACTCCCTTTTCTTTTCCTTTCTTTTCTTTTCTTCCTCTCGTTCGGTTTGCTGCCTATCGTAGGCTACCGGTACTATACATTGTATACAAGTACAGTACACTGTACTGTACTAGTACTAGTACGAGTATGAGTATTTGTATCATAGTTTGTTGGTACTCGTATCGTAGCGGGTAGTTGGGAGCTAACCCTTTTGGGCGTAACAGCAGCGATTGGGGGCCTTAACTTACTAGATTTAGGTTTAGTATCATATTGTACAGTACTCGCGCGGCCGAGTTGCTGTTGGACACCCACATAGAGTAGTGATCGGCAAACCAATAGATGGGCATTCTGATAGCGCCAAGCAGAGTGATGTAATTTGATATACTGAAGAGAACCATGATCGCACATATTGTTCTTCACAACTGCCATCCCGCATACCTATCAACTAATATCATTGCCTTTCTTTTAATAAAGAATATGCCCACACCGCAAACGAAGCTGAGCCATACTTCTTGAGTTCCGCTGCTCAAAAGAGCAGCAACCTTAACCCTGAACTGGCATACTAATATGTCATATCGAAACATTGCAGAAAAGTTGAATCTGAAGAAGTCAACTGTGGAGGTAATAATTAAGAGGGCAAAGGTAAGAGTTGAATCCTACCATAATCAAGTTTGACTTGAACACCTAAGGTGGCAATTCCCATACAAAGCGTTCAATCTTGGACCGGCGGTCATGCATGTGTGGAGACCAATGCAGATGATATAGTATTTTGAGGTGCTAAGAATGTAATTTTAGGCTCGCGCTTCCGATCCCAATGACTTTGACGATGTTCTTGCCTGTCTGGATGATAAACAGGAAGGTGGAAATCCTGAAAGATTTCCGGAGGGCGGTGAGGAGTCGATTGCTTTACGTGACCTCAGTCAGCAATACGAAGAGCACTGGCAAAAGACTTTTCCGGAAATAGCATAAGAGCTAGGTATTTGTGCTGCCCGTTCAACCTTAGAGCAAGTGTTCCACAGCCAGCATCAAATTTTTCCAAGAAAGCCTACATATAAGCCTACTCTATCTATGGAACAGATGGAGGCTCGTCTTGCCTTCGCCCATATGGCGCTGCAGATAGCGATCAATATGATAGTTTTTACCGATGAAATGTGGGTCGAATTTGGGAAACCACGTCATCAACGGAATATATCACGATATTGCGGAAGTGATCGAAATACCTATGCAATACATGATAGGAAAGAAAAACAACCAATTCGTATCATGTTCTGGGAAGCAATTATTAAAGGCTTTAAGGGTCCATATCATATATGGGAACCCGATACTCAAGAAGAGAGATGAGAATTTCAGCAAATTGTAAACAAGGAAAATCAAATACGACAACAGTGACGAGAGTTTAATCAGCAACAAGCTCAAGTTCCTGGTACTTGGCAACAGGAAATACTTACCAACATTAATAAGAGTATCGACAACCTCAACGAAGTGGAAGGACGGATTGGTAGACATAAACGGAGAAGACGTAAACCTGAGCAAGTTTTCAAAGAGAAGGAATTAGAATTCACTAGCAAGGGGGGAATTAATTGGGTCTCGTACCGCGAGCGAGTTCTACGACTAAAGCTCTATCCGTGGATGAACTCCTTACGAGAGAGAAAGGGAGTTCCGCATCTTTACCTGGTTGAAAATAATGCACCCTGTCACCAAACTGCATGGAGGATAGACTACGAGGAACGGAAGTCTCAAAGAATTCTTACCTTAGATTGGCCATCTAAGTCTCCAGATTTGAATCAAATCGAACCAATCTGGGATTATGAAAAGAATGAGGTCTTGACATGGCAGTTTGTGGGAGCAAGCGAGATGGAGGTTACAGGAGCTAAGGAGGTACTTGCAAGAACGTGGGAAACTCTTCCTCAGGCTGTGATTGATCAAAAGTGTCAATCATTTCATGAGAAGCTTCAAAGATTGATACTCCACAATGGGAATAATAATTTTAATGGGTAGAGTTATGTCAATATGGGGCGTTGAGGATTAGAGACTTTGTAATTTCACATTCAGAGTCAAATCCTAGCGATCTGGTTGGCCTATAACCATATTTGCCTTATATCCAGAGTCCTTTCGCAAAGTCTCTATTGGATCGTGATTTTTGTTGTACCGTATTTGATTATTAAGTGTGTTCCCTGAAGTAAGCATGCTATTGGTTCGCCAATCACTCCTCTCTGTGGGTGTCTAACAGCAACTCGGCTGCGCGAGTACTCATAGATGCTGTGGTCTAGGCAGAGTTGGAGACTGGAGTGTCGGTATTGTGTTGGGCTGGCTCTGTGTAGAGGTTCGATGTTGTAATTGAGATTGAAGGCGACTTCACAGGGGGATAATAAATAATATTATGGTATGGTATTGTGCTTGTACTAGGGGTTTTCAAAGTTAAAAACATTGAGAAAAAAGTAGCGAACTTGGCTGTTTCATGTAAGCTTGGAATGCACAAATGTAGTTAATTTACTGTCAATATACTTTACTTGATAAGACATTTTGCTAAAGTGGAAACAGATGTTAAGAGATCCGTAACAACCTGGGTATTGGTAAAGTAAAATGTGTACTGATCCGACCAAAACCAATCACTTGAGAACCAAGAATTTGATGAATATACCACACTCCTCTGAAAAAGTACAACTGGTACAGCAACTGTAAGATATATGGTTAGCATGCATTCTATTTGATATAGTCTTTAGTGATATAGATTTACTACAGCAAATTCTATCATTAGAGTTCACCTACTATAAAAGCAACAATTGTGAATAAGGGTAGTGTTATTCAAGTAGCTTAAGAGAGCTCCTGGAGGGGCAGGAAAGGAGAGTGGTTTGGTTGGATGAATTTGGAGATGGAGTTAGGAAGGAAGGGAAGTATGGAGGATGAGGAGAAAGAAATTAGAGAACTCATAGGCATTTTGGGAGTAATAATATCACAAATGCGGTATTTAGCACCATAGATGCCTATTGCTTATAGTAAGTACCTGTTCACACATTATGTAAGTAAATTTTATTGCTTAATTAGGTTTTTTTAAATGGTAATAAACAAAGAGAAAAGAGGATGTTAATATAAATTATTAGTTTAATACGATATCTGATGCAAGATTTCGGGTCTTTTTTTAAATGAAAAGAGAATCCTTCTACACCTTGGTTGTGCTTCTCTAAGAGGATTCCATTTTTCAAAACCCCTCTAGGAATTCTCAAGTCCCTATCAAAAAGCAGTTAGCAACAGCCTTGAACTTCTTAGGATCGTCAGGGGCATCAGTTGTTCGTGGAGCAGCTCAACTGAGAATTGGTGAAGAGACTACAAGGTTTTACTGTGAACGAATTATATCTGCTCTAATTTGCCTACTACACCGTTTTGTATCATGGCCGAAGCCAAGTAGAGTTGATTTCTCTTAGATGAGATAGGAGATTGAGAGGGCAAGTGGCTTTCTCAGGTGTGTGGGCTTGAATGATGAGACAGACCAAGTGTTACAGCATAGTCCATCCTATTATAGTAAGACCTACTTTAATTAAAAAAAAAAAAACAATAAGCACTTAATGTACAAGCTATTTGCAATAGTAGAAGGAAATTTACCTTTATGTCAGGAGGGTTTCTGTAATGATCCCTCTCTGGATAGTTAGTTCTTGGTGACGGGGAATGATACTTCTCCTTCTATCTTCTTCTTTCTTTGTCTTAC